ATATATATATATATATATATATATATATATATAAGGTTGAGAGGAATGAATGTTTCATCGGGAATCCTAATTAAAATAAATAGAATTAATGTTTTAGAAAATAAAAATATAATTGATTTGAGTATTTAATTATTTATGAAACGAAATCTAGTTAAATCAAATTAACATCCACTATTAATAATTAATTTGACATTACATTTATTTTCTCATAATCAATCTAACATTAAGTTTTAAAGTTTACAGATAAATTATTTCTTTTATACGTTTATAAAGTAAATAAGATTTTCTTAAAATTATTTATTACAAACTTATAGGTTTGGGTACGAAACGTGTCATTTACCTAAAAGTTACCAGTCCTCCCGAATTTCTTAGTGATCCAAAGAAAAAATAATTTATCATTTCGTATTACACTCCAATGAAGTGAAAGTGAAATGTGTTAATTTCGTACCAGGACATTTTATTTCATAAATTAATTATTTAAATATTTAATAAAACAATAATTATCAGTTGTATTTTTTCTGCAATTAATTGTAGTATTTATCGAAATCAATACCAAAGCGAGCTTGGCTGACGGACATCTTACCTTATGTGGACAATTTGTAATGCAATTTTCAATCATTCAATTCTTATAGTTTAATTTGCAATGTAATTTAGACACTCTGTGGTTATTTTTGTTTAATTTTTGGGTAGATTACAAAATTGAAAATAGTTTAAGTTCTGGTATTAAGTAGTTTAATCTTTTTTTTTTCAAAAGTGGGGTTCTTATTATATACAAGAGTAGTGTGCAAGGCAAAGGTGGATAACACTAAAAAATTATCATCTGTCAGTATATTCTGGATTATTGCTTTCTCTTCTAATCGTTGACATCAGTTTCTTTGATGGCATCTGCATCTTCTTCTTCGTCTTTCTCAAAGTTCAGAATCGATCGCGACGTGTTCATCCATTGTCTGGGATACGACATCCGTCGGAATTTCGTTTCTCATCTCAGTTCTGCCCTTTTGCAGGCTGGAGTAAAACCTTGCCTCCTTGCCGTGGAAATGCAGCAGGAACAATTTGTAGCATCAATCGAAGGGTTTCAGATTGGAATAGTTGTTCTCACCAAGACATACTTTGAATCTTTTCGGTGTGTTGATGAACTTGTGAGAATCATTGAATGTCACGAAACTCACGGCCTAATGGTTATGCCCGTGTTTTACGAAATGGACCGATCCGATTTTGAAAATAGGTTGAAAGCAACTGCAAGAGAAGTCATGAAAGTTGAACACATAATTTGGTCAGGAGAATATCGGAAAACATGGTTCCAGAGGTGGAATGTCGCACTCACCAAAGCTGGAACTTTGCCTACTTGGGAGGAAAGCCAACACAGGTAAACCAATCCATACTTTCGAAAATTTTATTAAAACATTTTCAGCGTAGAAAATTAAACAAGTGTTTCCACACAATTATCTTTAATAAAAATATAAAATATATTTTTTTTCATAAACTAAAAGTAATTTATATATAAATTGATTTGTAAAACTTCTCTCATAATTTC